CCCTACAGTCAGTCAACACTACAATTTTGAAAACAAAAGGTTTAACCAATTGTCATGCTGAATCTCCTCAGAATTGTGAATGTAGAAACTGGCAGAGCCATTTTTTCAGTTTGTGCCAAATTACTCTTTTATCTCCTAAAGGATTAAAGAAACGTTCTACCCTGATATTCCGAATCCTGAGAACAGCAAGGCATTGCAGTTCCAGAAGAACATATGTGAGGTAACTATTTAATGCTGTTTTTTAAGGTTCTAAAATGTAAAATTACATCAGGTAATGCAGTCTGCAAATGTTGAGGTGTATTCTTCAGCTTAAATTCACTTTTTAATAGGATGAGATGAGAGAGACATGACAAGCAACCAAGCATTTGTTTTTAGACTATGGCTGGGTCTACAGTCTAGTTTGTTATTAAAACTCTGCCAGTAGCAGCTGTTAGGAAGAAAAAAAATGAAAGTTTGTCCCAGCCCAGCAATATAATGGCACGTCTCAAGTGATGTGATCCAGCTCATTTCTAACTGCTTGTTTTCTTCCTCTTCCCATTGGCAGAACTGAGAAGTGTAGGTAGAACATGCTTCCCATCTCCTTCTTGCCCTTCTCACCATGCTGCTTTATAATTGGAAGCAAACTTAAAGCCAAGTCATTGCTTCAGGTTAGGTGAAATAACAGAGATAACTAAGGAAAATAATTTTGAAGTTGGAAATATTTGTGGCAAAAATTCAGGAATGTTAAACTTGCTAAAATAGCTGTTCATATTAGCAGCAATATATAGGCAAATACCAGAGTTTAGGAAAGGAGAGAATTATATTGTGTGTTTTGGTTTTCTTTGTGGGGTTTTTTAAGTAATAATTGCAGTAGTGCAGAACAATATGCTGAATGCATGAACCGCAACAAAATTGTTTTCCTGAGTTCCAGTTCTTTTGGCTTAGTCTCTGGTCTAGGTGTTTCTTGTTTTTTCTCATTTTAGGGGAACACTGCCCTTAAAACATTGGAAATGAACCCTTGTACCCCCAATAGCGTTGAAGTGCTAGAAACACGATCTGCAGTCCCTAAGATGGAGGACACAGAAATTAAATCCCCTGTTGCGGATAGTGAGCCTCCTGAGGATGTCTCGGACACAGAAACTGAAAACCTTGTGGTGGTATCATACTGCCCACCTATCATTGAGGAGGAGATCTCCAACCCCTCAGTAGATGAATCTGTGGGGTCTTCTCAGGTCATTTATATTGATGTTCAATCAATGTATCAGCCTCAAGTTAAACCAGAGGAAGAGCCAGAAATAGACTTTGTGACTACAGAAGGCTATAAGCCACAAATGCACTTGTCTATTAATACTATAAAAACAGAGAATCACTTGCCCACAGAAGAGGACTCTGATAAAACTGCAGGCTACAGACCTCAGGCAAACACAAATGCCTGGAATGTAGGCACTCCAGACTCTCCTAGATCAATCGAGAGCAACAATGAAAATACATCTTTTGGAAGCCCGTGTTCCATTAATTCTCGACAATTTTTGATCCCCCCAAGGGATGATGAAGACTCTTCCAAGCCAAACAACATTGGGTGGTCCTTCACAAATTTTTTTCAGAACAAACCAAGTGATTAATAGTGGTTGCGATCATTTCAGCTGGACCTGCCATCTCAATAAGCTCTTATTCCAAATGTAAAAACAGCATGAGTTCTTGGAGATAGTCTTCAGAGGTTTTTAGTGTGCTGAATGTTACAGTGAAAGTGTTAATGTTGCATTTTAATATAGGCTAAAAGCCAAAGTTCTAGCAACTTAATTATTACGCTAGTAAAATATTAAGGAAGTTTCAGTTGTATCTTCTGGTTATCTTGGCTAAAGAGCTCTACTTCAAAGTAGTGTTTCAGTGGTTGATATGGTCTCATGCAGCTTGTTACCTTGGAAAGGTGCTCTGTTTTTGTAGCTGGTTTCTATTATGCATATTCAAATAACAAAATTCAAACTTGTTTGCAGATTGAGGGCAGTGACAGTAGTGTCCTCAGCCTAATCATTAGGGTGTATATGCTTAAATTGTTTATTCAACTGTTAGCACTTCCACCTATGCTGTGTTTATCTAACTTTTAAAATCCCACATACAAAAACAGCATCACTACTGTCTTAACACTTTAAGCAATGACTATTCTTTTCTGTTGTCCAGTAACCAGGACACTAATTACTGTACAAGGTTCATTCAGTATTTGACTCAGGAGTACAAACTTGGAAAACGTGTAACACTGATTTAAACCTCAACCAGAACTGCATGATGTTTAAAATTTAGCGTTATTTTTTAAACCGTAAAACACTATTTTTTCCCTGACACTTCAGTTAAGGAGTTAGTGTTTCTTAACATATTGCACTAATGTATTTTGTATAGCTGTAGCTCCAGATCTGATGCCTCAAAGAGGTTAAGTATCGTCTCCTTTTCCTCTCCCCTCAAATGCCATTTTAGGCCAATAGCATAGCATCTGGAGCTGAAGGCTTGTAAGCAGCATATCCAAAGGATTAGTCTCCGTTTAACAGTCCTTGATTGCACTAACCTACCCATCAATGTTATTTCATAGATTACATTTGGTAGAACTAGCTGCTAGAGCAGGTTTGCTCCACCCATGAGTAGTAGTAGCACCATGAGAAAGAATTGTTCCTTGGCTTGTCTTCAGCTGTAATAGGCCCCGCTATCCATGAAGAATTTCTGTGGCTACTCTCCAGAAACAGTCTGTCCCAGCATGCATTCTCCACAGATTTAATGTGGAAATAGAAGATGGGATTTTTCCATAGGCAGTGGGGAGCCCAGAGAAGCTGATGCCACTAATTGTACCTCTCTAGCACTGGTCACCTAATACAACGGTTATAATGGTGAGTTTAGTTTGTGTGTTTAGAGAAACAGTCTCAAGAAAGATGATTTTTAATTTCTGTTTTCATTGAAGTATCTTAAAAAGCAGGTCTAATTGTAACATTTCACTGCATAAAAATTAGATTGTGATGCTGCATGAATAGTGACTACTTTGCTAACTTTGTTTTGTAAAATAAATAGTAATGGTAAGCTGCCACATGACATAACATTACAGCAAAACAGAGTCTTCTAAAGTTCCCAACCCTTTCAAGATCTCAGTTTTAAATAGCTGATTTGTAGTACCTCAAATGTCTAAATTGCAGTGGGAGCCTTGTGTATTAAGCACAAGGCTCCCACTGCCTTGTGCTTACACAGTCTGAATTTGGTTTCAAATTCAGACTGTGCAGCTGAATTTGAAACCAAGCTCACAGCTCTAAGTGAAATCAGATGAGAGAGAGAGACTGTTAACAAGGTGGAAGTTGTGTAGGCTACAAATGACATTATCTGACCACCACCATCTTGCAAGAAACTACCTTAAATTTGATTATAGTAATGCACAGTAGATCTCAAACTACCTCTGCAGTCCTTTAGACAGAACTGGCTGAAAGGGCAGATGGATTTTCAAATTGACAAACAGGCAAGCAAAGAAGTAAAAGATACCAAGATAGGCAGCTTCATCTGCAACTTCTGGAAAGCCCAGATAAGATTAATTTTTCTGAATGAATTTCAGTATTAATGGTTCTTCCAATGAAAGGGAATACACTTGAAATTATTAGGAGTCTTAGCAGCATCAGATCTGGTTGCCAGACATCGTTGTAAGAGACCAGTTTCATCTGCAACCTGTAGTTGACAACTTATTCGAAACTTTAAAATCTATATAATGGTTCTGCCTTTATGGAACAAGACTTGGTTGATGACTGGGCTTTGCTAAATCCAAATACTAAAGGCTTTACTATCCATTCCAGAGTTCATAATACCTCATTCTAGTGTAGTGCTAATGTTTACTAATGTAGAACCAACATAAAAATATTTAGTTTCTAAGATGAATGGACTTCATCATGACCCAGTATACTCCTAGAAGCAGGAGGCATAAAAGAAAGATAAGCAGATGATGTACTAAGAAGAGAGAGTTTGTTCAGTTTACTTCAACATACACATTATTCTTTTCAAATAAGCAACAACAATGTCATCTCTTGATGGTTCTTGTGAGAAACATGCTATAGCAGTTACAGTGATATGGTGACCAAAACTAGAATAGCGCTCATAATGGAGCAGCTAGTCTTGAAAAAGAACCAGAATCTCTGGTTGGTCTCTGGTATGTTTCCCAAGACACAAGTTCAAGCCAGAAAGTATTTTTTATCTGGGCAGTAACATTACTTGTATTAAATGTTAAAAACAAAACCAGTCTGATGCCTCAGCTAGTGTGTGCTTGTACGTAAATTGGTATAGATCAGCCCTATAACTTTCACAACCTCTCTCTCAGAAGATTAAAACCATGACAGATTCCAGGTACTGTATGTACCTGCTTTCAGTACCTGTTATTCCATACGTGTGCCATTTGTTGTTAGTAAAGCCAGTGATATTTCAAATCAGCTAATGTCTGAGTGATGACAGTGTGCTTTATTTTCTAAATATATAGGGTATTCTATGTTACATGTGTACCCAAATATTATGTGGGAGTATGTACTCTTTCATCAATGGCACTAAATTGCCTCTCTAAAATATGACCATTTAATGTCATCCAAGTTAATTCTTTGCACCAGTGTTCTGGGGTGCTTTCTGATCTTGGAGGTCTGTGGCCAAGAAATAGTAAACTTGGTGAACAAGGGCTTATCTAAACCCCTTCACATGATGTCATTGTATCTGGGGTTGATACAGTAGATAAAAGACAGGAGTGTATATATGCATGCACCATCTGTAGCGTCTTAATTATTACAAAGAGAGGTAGTTAGCCGTGTTAGTCTGAATTCAGATATATGTTAGGATAGATTTGCATCTTATAGACCAACTCTGACTTAGTTTATAAATTGCAAATGTACTATGCCTTCTACTGTAATTGTTACAAGCCAGTAAGCAGTTTTTGTCATAACAAACTAGTCCTTGCAACCAGTGCTTTACATTGAGCTTATCTGCTCATTCATTGGTCCAGGGGTGCTCTCTGAAAGCTGCTTCAAATGGTTTATTTAAAAATCTTATTTGCAATTTGCACAGACACCAGAATTGTAACACCCCTGAGGAAGTATGCTGATTTAGCAAAGATATTAAGCAGGCCTTGTGTGGCATAGCAAAATAGAATCAAATGGCTAGTACTGTTGGGTGACTGAAGTGCTCTCCATATCTGCATGTATATCCAGGAATCACTGAAGCGCCTTAAAGAAAAAATGGACCAAGGAGTCTTCCATACCAAATTCACTCTCAGCGTATGGTGCTTTTTAAATTCCACAAGCATTGATTGGAGTTGTACGGCAAAAAGCCTTGTCCTTCAAATGAGATTAGTTCCTTAATTGGTGCCTTCTGGTATCCTCATGAGCCTTCTTTGGTAAGCTAGACACTGAAGGATTGTTTCTGTGTTTCAGGAAAAAAGTCTCCATTACCAAAACTACTACTTTTTTAGATCTATGCTGTCTTGAATTTGGAGTGGAGCAATAATATATATATAAGGTAAATAAGATATACAGGGGGAGTAAACAGAAAGGATCGATTCAAAAAACATGTCACTCCTTTTTTAAGTCCCTACCTGTTTTCAAGGTTAAAAGCTGTTCAGGAATCTAAGATGTTAATTGCTTTGGTATGTTTTTCTTTTTTTCCTTTTTTTAATGTCAGGCCATTCAATTTTGGAGCATATAATTTATAATGTTGCTGCTGATTTTTTTTTTTTTTTTTTTTTTTTCTTTTGAGCCATGCCTGGTTTGTTTGATGATTTTTTTTTTTGTAAAAAGAAGTTCTGTATCATTCACCCGATTACTGAGCATCAGTGCCAGTGGATTCGCTCTTACATATATTCTCTGTTCAGCAGAGAGACATGGGGAATTGGACTCCTGTTTGAAATGGCACTTTTACATGTTGCGGTTGTAGATTCAAAAAGCCTGTACATGATATACCTCACAAAACTAGCTATTATCAGATGTAGTAAGCTAATGTTACAGATAGCCAGTGAATTATATTCTCTGCCATATGCTTGCTACATAAACAGATTTAGGACCTAATTCTGTGAACAGTTACTATCATGTAATTAACCTGAGTAGGCCTTGCTCTAGTAATTACCCAAAGTAATGGACCTATACCTTGTAGGAACTATTTGCAGTGTTGTCCCTTAGATTAAAGTAATTGGCAGAAGCAACACACACACACAAATATATATTTTATGTTGTGTGGGATTAGCATTTTAGTTTTTACTGGGGAATGGGAGATAAAGTAGAAATTAGGGTTGCCCTGAAGAGGTGCATGGAAGCCTTGCTAAACAAAGTTCTCTTGCTGTAGTGAACTTCGGGCTTTTTAGTTATGCAGGTTTAGACTGTGGGGCCCCTGCAAGGCTGTCCTGCTGAGCCAAGTTCAGCTGAAGGTAAAATTGCTTCAAGAGGAAAATAACTATGCAAACAAAGAAAATTTTGTGTGTGGAAAGGAGCAGGATAGTCAAAGATTGTTGTACAGAGAAAAATAAAGCAAGACCATCACTGCTATATTTTTAGTCTGCCGTATTGTTTTTTTGTTGTAAATAAAATATTAAATAAAATACCCTTATAGAAGGGAATATAATTCAAAAGCATTTAAAATTTGAATATATGAGTATTGCTCTGACTGGAAGAATCAAAGGGATAACTGTGTTCTATTTACCATAACTACTCATAGCTTTCCATGTAAATAGTGCTCTCTGTTCCAAAGTAAATGCTTTTTATTAAAATGTTAGTTCCAGCAGTTTTTATATTTCTAAGGTTTTTCCCCCAAAAAGTCATAAATTACATATATAAATGTATACTTGTGTCCTACTCCACTTTAATTTCATGCTGTGTTAAAAAGTCCTCTTGAACTTCCCATGCTTCTTGGGTGTATGGCCTTATATTTGAGGCAGAACATTCTCTAGCACTCTACACACCTTTTATACTCTTCCTAGTATGATTAGGCTATGGCTCTTGTAGCATGTAAAATATTAGCCTGGGCAATGGATATTCAAAAGGAGGCTGTTGGCACTTGTTCTTAGAACTCTTTCATTTTCTTTTTTGAATCTTTGTCCTTTGAGAGTGGCTTGTATGAAAACCCAATCCAAGTATGCTTAGACTTTGGAGATTTTGAAGTCCAAGTCTGGGTATAGATTCAAATTTTTCCTATTCTGAAGCTTCAGACAACCTTAGTTTTTAAAGGTCCACCTACAGTTTGGAAAATAGTATCTCCCATAGCATTTTTTTTTCTGTTATCCATGTGTCTAAGTATTGGCGGCATTTGCTTGTTCTACAAGCAAGCAGTGATATTGTAGCTTCCTCATGTAGCCTTACAAATTGTCCCAATATTTTCCCCACAAAAATGTCTATTTACATTTTCAGCAAAAGGTTGGTGAATACCAATAGAAATATTTGCATGATTTAAAAAAAAATCTTATTGGAACAATTCTTTAATGTTTTGCAGCTCAAATGTTTCTGCATTTTGATAAGTTGTTCAAACCAGCATGCAAAGCAGACAAACAAAAGAGAAACTGTAATTTGTTATTGTTCATGGTAAGAAAAATGCTAAAAAAATAAGCCCAAATAGTAAGAAATACTATTGAAAGGGAAAAGGTTTTCCTTTTAAACAAAAGGCTGTGTACCAGAGCTAAGGAAATTAATTTTAAGAATGTGTTATTTTAAACTTGAAGTTTCTCCTTATATGATAGTAAAAAGTGAACTAGGATGTACAGTTTTACACTTCAAAAATGCTTGTATGGGCTTTTTAGTCACTTCTTGCCTGAAACCCCACTGGAATGCAGGATAATTGTAATTCTTAACTTCATCTTGTTGTGCACAAATTGGAGGGGCTGATACAATACTCTAAAAGACTAAGAATAAAGTACCTTATACTAAAATGTTGTCTAAAAAGCATACTGTGAACAGGTTTTAGGTCTCTGTCTTTCTTTTATACCCTATTTTTTTACCACCTGAATATTTTGTTTAAAGGTGTTTTTATGTTTGTATTTTTGTGCATTTCGTTGAAATGTGTTTATAATGCTAATGAAAATGTTCACTCATTTCAAATTGTCGTATAGACATTAGTTCTGAGCATTAGTGAAAAAGACAACTAAGAAAAAGGTAGCCAACTTAATGCTGTAACATTTATACTACGTTTTAATCAGCCATTTAACACTACTGTCATTTGCTGTGTAATTATATTTTATGCCAGCTTCCAAATCTGTTACATATGCAAAAGGTTTCCTTCATGATTCAAACAAAATCATCACAAGGCACTTTATTCAAGTTGTAACATACCTAGTAAACAAAATGCTAATTCATGAAAGCATATCCTCAAACAGATTTAGTGAATAATAAGCAATTTAACAAATGCATGCTTAAAAGTGAAATGTAGAATCATGTTGGGAAACATGACAATGTAGCATACTACGTAACCTAATACTAAGATACCAACTCTTTGCATACATTTTTAAAGCTAGTTTGCTTGGCTGTTGTAACTCTTGATGTATTGCTTATGTCTGTTTAAAAAATGCATGTATTTA